TTATTTTATTTTATTTTATTTTATTTTATTTTATTTTATTTTATTTTATTTTATACAATTTTAATTTACTTTATTTTAATTTCTATTGTTTTATTTTATTTTTTTATTCACTTACTGAATATAGATTATTTACGTCATTTTTGATGAATTTTTGTGGACTTTATTTAGTTTTTATTATATTATTTTAGTTGCTTTTGCACCGGTGGATACGTGAATAGAAAACTTGCTTTAACCGCTACTGAGATGTTTCAAATCATCCATTGCTTATTTGCTTTTTCACAAAAAATATCAAATATTTATTTTAAAATCTCGTTAAACAACAACCACAAACAACACGTACCTCATCTGTTATTTAAATTTGAAATACTTAAATTTAAATACAATAATTTTAGTTTGCGATTTTAATGTGAAATAACTGAAGCAAAATCTGACACGTTTCCGAAGCTTAAAGGAAAATTTGTAAGATTAAATGCGTTTTCTAAAATTTCACGGCACATTAGCGAGTTCTTCGTATTCTTCGTAGCAATTTCAAAATAATTGCTCAACATCCATCGCTAACAACCGCATCTCTGCTAATTGGCACAGCAAGGCGTTTGTGCGGTGTGCTAAACGCCATGCCGCATAACCGTATCTTCTATTCTTCGCCTTCCATACCACCTTCTAACGGCAATATTCCTTGTCACAACCCTCAGCTAACAGCGAAGCCAATAACTCAAATGATATAAAAATGATGAGTGGCAATTTTGATGGCGGCAATTTAAAGCCAACCCATGATGACTGGATCGGGAAAGGGGGATGCAAGTGTGAAACATTAAAATTGCTGGGAAATAATGTACAGTTAAAGAGTATATGTATGTTAATATATTTGAGAGCATGTACAAAGAATTTTGGAGAACCTTTTGTTTCAGAATAAAATTTACAAAAAAAACATTTAAATTAAAATTTAAAAAAAATTAATAAAACTAATATAAAATTTTTAATATTAAATTAAACAATATATAATAAATGAATGAAATGAAAATAAACAAAGTAAAATGAAATAGATTCAAATTGACAAAAGATAAAATAAAATCGATTTGAAATAAAATAAGATTAAAATAAATTAAATTAAAGTAAATAAAATTAAATAATTTAATTTAATAATTTGTAACAATGTTTAATAAAGCATAAATAAAATAAAATAAAACAAATAAAAATAAAATAAAGTAAATTGAAATAAATTAATATAAAACAAATTTTTATAAAATTAAATTAAATAAAATAAAGCAAAATACAATAAAACAAAAAAAATAAATGAAAACAAATTAAAAAGAAATAAAATAAACAAAACAAAATAAAACAAAATAAAATTAAATAAAGTAAAATAAAACCAATTTATATAAAATTAAATAAAACAAGGTAAATAAAAATGAAATCAATGAAATCAAATAAAACAAAATAATTTAATCTAAATTAAAACGAAATAAAAGGCGAAAAAATAAAATGAAATAAAATAAATTAAAATAAAACACATTTATATAATATAAAATAAAATAAAACAAAATAAAATAAAATAATATAAAATAAAATGAAATAAAATAAAATAAAATAAAATAAAATAATATAAAATAAAATAAAATAAAATATAATAAAATAAAATAAAATAAAATAAAATAAAATAAAATAAAATAAAATAAAATAAAATAAAATAAAATAAAATAAAATAAAATAAAATAAAAGAAAGCAAAATAAGAAAATGAGATAAATTAAATAATATGAAGCACATGCCTATTTGTTTGTAGGTATTGAATATATTTGTAATACAACAAATAACATCGGATATGACCATATCCCTCCATCAGACTTATTAAACTATTGACCAAAAATAGAAAAAAATAGAAAATTAAAAATAAAAACAATGAAAACAAATTAAATAAATTGATATAAAATAAGATTTATTAAATTTTAAAATATTAAAATGAGTTTAATTACATTAGCTAAATTTACAAAATTAAATTAAATTAAATATGTAAAACCATACACAAGAAAAGTTCAATTTAATTTAAGTTAAAGCAATTTAATGAAACAAATTAAATTATATTAAAAAAAAAAAAATAAACACAAAATAAAAGGAAGTATATGCTTTTTCAGGTAATTTTTCTGTTGAATTGTTTTTGGGTCTTTTATAGAACTGTTTGAGACCATCTATATTTTTTCAAAATTTAATTAAATTAAATAAAATAGAACAACATAATTTAAATTAAATTAAATATTAAAATATATAATTATTTTATTTAAAATAAAAATTATTTGAAAATAATGAAATAAAATTATATAAAAATAATAAAAAATATTATATAAGCATAATAAAAAAAAATCAATAGAAATAAATAAATAAAATAAAATAAAATTTCATATAATATAACTAACTAAGTTGAGTGAAGAAAACTAAAAAAAGCTAAGTAAAATTTTTAATTAAACGGTATAAAATTTTATTGTTTAATATTTTTTTTTTTTTTGCTTGTACAGTTTGATTTTTTTTCTGTTTTTATATTTTTTTCTATCAGAATTTTTCATTTTAATTTTTAATTATTTATTATTTTCATAGTTGGTGGAGCGATGTGTCATTGCCGGTGATTGGCTGACATTGAGTGCTGGCGATTGAAAAGTAATTAAAAAACATAAATAATAAACTCTACATTGGCAGCAGTGACAACGCTAATGAGAATGCCAGCAACAACAATGGCAGCAATTTACTAATATTTTCACGGCAACGTCAAAGAGCTATACTCTGTACATACACGTGGTACGTAGATACATACATATTTACCTTAGGTACATACATACTATACTATACATACATACTAAATAAAATATGTAGGGCAATGCACCAGGCAACGGACATGGACCATTTAACATTTTATTTCTGTTTTTGATGGTCAAAACTGTGGGAGGAAGTTGAATGAAATTAGCATAGTAAAAAATACCGATGGCTTTTATGTAACAACAATGAGAAGCACAATAAATACCAATAGTGACATGTTGCGTGTTAAAACGAATTTTTTTATACGAATTTCGCAAAGTTTTTCAAATGCAAATACTTTTATTTTTTATTTACACACATACAATATAATTTTGTACAAAACAGTGGGAAATATTATTGTATATACATATGTATTATGTGCGTAGAGGAATTTTAAAAGTTTTCAAGGTAATAATGCCAACTAAAATATGAATTTCAGTAGCACATAAAAATAATGTTTGGACTTCCCACAACAACAAGTAATGAAATATTTACACATACATACGCATTTATATATATATATATATTTATATTAGCCCAATCCAATATAGGCTATCGAATTTTCGACCGAATGTTAGTTGAAAGGCCGTTCTAATTGGGCATATACGAAAAAATTATGGTCTCTAAGGTTCAAATTGGACAAAGTTAAAACGTGAAATATATGTCCAGGATGCATGGTTCTCCTCTGACTTGATACTTGGCATCCTTATGTTTTGCAAAATTGACTTTTTGAGTTTTTCATACTTACAACCTTCGCCAGAGTGGAAAACTCAGTAGCAATTTTCTATGGTTTTCTTATTTCATCATACTTTTACTTCATATACATATTTCTTCATACATATGCAGTCAAAGAAAATTCCACTTTTTATTTAAATTAATTAATCAACAATGCAATCGAAAAAAAAATAAAAACATAAAATCATGCGGGACAAAAGTTTAAATGCAACCAAAGAAAAATACCTATCGCATGTGCTTTTCAAGTTCATTAGAAATAAAAAACCGTTATATTCAATGATTTAGTAACTTATAAATATTTACCCGGTATTAAACGTGACTTCTTCTCCAACAGTGAATGCAAAGTAAGGGAAAAATAGGTAGAGAGTGGTGTTAAAAAACTTGGTGATTAAATATTCTCAAGAAGGAAAATCTTACCGAGATCTGGGAAAAATTCTTCATAATCCTGATGCGAGTGTGCAATATATTTTTCGAAAGTAAAAACCCACAAATCTGTACCAAGGAAGCTATCCTGACGAGATGTTAGTTTTATCGCCTAGAAAACGACGATAAAAATCCCATAATAAGTGCTCTAAAGATAGCCGAAAGCATCACTAAAATATTGAGCAAAAATGTGCACCCAAAAACTACAGCAAGAACTTTAGGGGAAGATAGCATCGAAGCAGAGTTCCACGAAAAAGGCCTTTAATATCTGAGAAATATCTGATATGGATAAATTCTGCTGGAGAAGACTCCTACTTTACGGACGAAACAAAATTAAACGTGTACGGAAGCGTTGACCGCGTAAAAGTTTGGCGTAAAGCAATGACAAACCCAAAGTTTTAAATTAAACCGTTAAGCACGGTGAGGATAACGTCAAGGCTTGGGGCGCGTTTGAAGCAACTGATGTAGGAGATTTAACGTTTCTCGATGGAATAATGAATAAATATGTTTATAAAAGTATTTTGGAACAACAAAGACAGTCTTCCGTGTATTCTTAAATATTTCAACATGACAACGGATCTAACCATGCAGAGTGCTTGGGAAAGGAATGACTACTGTATTGTGCTCCTCCTCAGCTTATAGTTCGGCACAATCATCAGAGTTGAACTCCATTGAACATATTTGGCAGTTATAGGTGCGAAAAATTGCTATGGCAACTTCAACCAGCAAATAAGCCTTAGAAGAAACTCTAAAAAGGCATAGTCTGAACGGAAATAGAAAATTTGCTTCTATCTACTCCACCTTCTCTAAAGGCAGTTATAGAAGCGCAAATAATATAAATTATATTTAAAAAAAAATTATGTTTTCCCATAATAAAAGCACACCCTAATAAAACTGCATTTCAATATTTTCCGCTGATGATAGTGATTAAATTTAAAAATATACATACTAAATATATATGTACGAGTATATTACATATGTATATATGTGCATACATGTGTAATCATAACCGCCGGGAATTTCCATTTCTACACTTACTCAGCTCACTTTGCCCCAAAATTTGCTGCTTATATAAAGCAGTTGCCAAAAAATTGTAATTTAGTTTTTACCTCCCATCAAAGTGGCACAGAAAGTCGCGTGTGAAAATCACGAAAAATTGAAAACACAATCGTTTTTCTGCGAGTCATTCATATATATAAATTTTTTAGAAATTTCGAGAAATTAAAATGACCGTTACTTATATTTTAACAGTATTATCGGCGTGTTTAATAGTAAGTGAAATAGAATTTTTTTTATTTAATTTTTTTTTAATTCTTTTTTATTTTTTTTTATTTTGATTTTCTTGATTTAAAAAGGTCTTATAAAAATTTTATTAGCACTCGTTATTTTTGAAAAATTAATTTCAATTAAATTATTGGTTTTCACGTTGGCTTTGTTAAATCGTTCATCGATATTCGATAGTTTTTTTCGGGTTTTTTTTTTAAATATTTTTCTTCCTTTTTATTGTAAAATTAATCTTTGATCTCCTAAGATGATTAGATTTCGGGATTAAAGATCTATACTTTTGAATACGTTTGAACCAATGGCCGAAGCGCTTTTGGCACTCCTATTGAGGTGTCTCCAAAATATGCATTCTGCATGCATTAACCGTCTCTTCAAATGCCGAGTAACGTTGATCTCGCAGTTTATTTTTTAAGAACGGAAATAAAAGAAAGTCTTTCGGTGACAAGTCAGGACTGTACGATGAATGGCTTATCAAATCGATATTTTGAAAGCTCAAAAATCCCAGTATTTCAGTCGAAGTGTGAGGGCCCTTTTCAGCGATTGATTTTCCTGATTTCTGCGAACCACTCATAATTTACTTATTCTGTGTTGTACTAGTGGTACGATTCGATATGTCAAATATCAGTTTGCCCACACTAAAAATAGTTTCCGAAGAAACAACTGATTTTGAACGACACGAAATTCGCCTTGGAGAGATGCACGACCTCGATTGAATTCACCATACCATCCATAAATACTGGTCATTGATGGAGCTACGTTGCCAAAAATATATTTAAGTTAATCAATACACTGCTGCTGAGTTAATTCACGTTGACGACTTAATTCCATTTTTTGGTCGAGATAAATATTTTATTTTATTTATTAGAAAATACAACGATTGCTCCTGCGTCGAAACGTTCTGAGCATTTGTAAGGTTAAAAAAGTTAAACTTTACGACAAAGTTGTCAGTTGTCAGCGCGTAGAACCGTTGGGCAGGACGGTGAATCGTCTGGCTTTATTCGCCTCTCGTCAAGAGTGCGGCAACACCATCTGAAACAATCTTCGACGTTCTCGGAATACAAACTCCATACATTGAAGACGAGATCTTCTTAGAGCTGCCTCGAGAGACCCGATAAATATTGACACAATTAAGAGCTGGCGATTATAATCTACTCAATTCCTACTTGGTTAGACGTATTTCCTGCATGCGGTGATACCGCGCACGAAACGAACCAGCTCTTTGCATGCGCCTTAAAATTTACTCATCCAACCACCTCTTTCCCTAGTCTCCCGGGCCTCCTATTAAATGACCTCGATGACTTAGACTAGTACATACTGAAAGTTGACGCAATCGTAGGAAAATTGCTCCTTCATCGCAGTTTTGTCTATTTAAATATAATGAAAATTGGAGAAACTTCTTCGTTCGCTATGAGGGACAAGATGTGAGCAAATTGTGGTCGGTCTACACGTAGCCTTATTGGTATGCCTATGCAGCTGCCAGTGTACGTTTTTAATTTTTCCATGTGTAAAATCTTAAATTGGAAATATGGAATTCCCCCAGGACTCTCCAGTTCTTCAGCGCCATTTCTGCTTCTTCTGAGGTCAAAGTGAGATATAACCAAATTTCGATAGCACGTAATAGAACTTGACTTGTTAACTTTGAGGCGAGACCCTTCCCCAGAGAAATCAAAATGGCACTCACTGCATTCATTGGTATCTGTACTTCTCTATCAGTGCTCAGAGCTCTTTTTTGTCTGTCGCAACCGATGGCAGATAGAGCAACAGTCATGTAGTTGCTGCTTTGCCATGGTATATTTCTGGATCACACAGACAATCTTCGAGGATGTCCGATGTGTACCGCCTTGAGCGTAGTGCTCACTACACCAAGCGGCATCAGTTCCGTCTATACATATATACTGTCTAAAGGTGTAGTGCAGACTTAGGGAAAAAGTAAATGATATTGTACACCTCATCAGCCTCATCTACACCGTTGGCTACTTTCAAAGCCACGTCGAAGTTCTTTGTGGCCTTGAGGTTATTCTTTTAGACCGTGACCGTGTCGAAGACAAATTTAATTTTCCCTACCGGCTCTTTATAGAGCTGGGAGCGATTTTTTATGCGTCTGCACTGCTTAACACGTCGTCTTGGTGCCTGGCTTTTCCATTAAAAGCTGTCCAGTTCATGGTGAAAGTTCAGGGTTTGATTATTTGATCACGCACATTGGGTTTTAAGGACGGCCATATTCTGGCCCTCCGACTGGAAGGTCAGTCTTAAATGATTAACCACTCTTAGACGTGCTCCGGAGTATACCTCGCCAAGACAAGCAACGACCATTTTGTAAAGCGTAGCCCAACTCTCGTCGTCGCAAGCCACAACTTTTATTTGTTGATGTTTTCCTGGAACCAGCCTGCTGGGACTGATGCTCCTGGGTTGTTTCCTTGGGAGCGCATTAAAGCCACGAGTTGTCATCGATTATTCCCAGAAGGAATAAGAGATGGGTAATTGAATTTCTGGAGCAGTTCTTTGCTCGAGCGATATGACTTGAATGAAATAATCGCAAATAAAATGGATATAATTACTCTTTTCTAATCAAAAAATTATAAATTTAAAACTTTCTTATGACAAATCCTCACATTTTCAGGCTAACACCCAAGCAGCAAACTTCAATTGCTCAGAGCCGCCAAATCTGGGACACTTTGTAAGTACGCTGAGCACAATCGACTCAAGTTAGACTTGACTACGCACAGCTTAGTCAGCAGAAATACCTCAGATGCTATTATTTTCCTTGCAGGATGTGCACAGTTGCTGTCGCATGCCCGAAATACATTTAGGTGAGGCGCCGGCAAAGTGCAGCGCTCACATAAAAACGCTTACCGCACAAACGAAAAGCCAGATGGGTGGCATGAAGAGCGATGGTCAGGCGCAGGATGGGATGAATACAGCGAACGATAATCAAAACAATAACAGTCATAGCGAAGTGGAATATCCAGCTTATGCGCACATTGTAAGCTCCTTTTTTTCCTTCTTTTTCTTCTTCTTCTTCTTCTTCTTCTTCTTCTTCTTCTTCTACCTCAAGTGCACTCATTGGGCATGCATTTGAATTTAGAAATTTGCTTATCTCTTCGTTTGATTTTTATTTTATTTCCATTTTTTTCTATTTGCTTTTACAGTGCTATCCGGAGTGTATTTACCGTGAGACAGGCTCTTTGGTCGAAAATGAATTTAATATGGAAAATGTCAAGAAATTCCTGAACAAAAGTGTCAACAAACGCGACAAGGATATTATACCGCAGATTGTGCGCTCCTTCGAGAGTTGCCTGGACAATAGTAAGTGCGGTAGAGTAAAGGAAAAGACAAAAAGAAAAGACAAAGAAAAAATTAAAATTTAATATATATAGAACTCATTCATCTGCATACGCCGACCCAATCACCCAATCACCCAATCACAGGCTGGGCACAGAGTTAAATTGTAGTTGAGACAGGCCAAAGGGAAGAGCAGTCGATAAGACAGCGAAGGTTGGAATAAATTCAACGGAAGTTGATTTTAATATTTGATTTTTTGCTCATTTTTTTGTCTTCTTGGCTCCTGACTCTTGTCAATGCAATATTTGCTCTGTCAATATTAAAAGTATTTATTTATTTTTTGCATACAAACTACCGTGCTCACTAGTGATGGAGCGAATCTTCGAATTCGGCACCGAAACGAACGAGCTGCCGACCATTACCGTAGCCCTCGACGTATTCATTCGTCATGATATACACTAAAATCAGAAAGCTTTCAGAAATTTGTCTTTCAAACTGCTTGCGCTGAATATTTTTAAGCATTTTTTAGCTAAGTTGGCAGCACTGTCCGTAATTACAATGCCAAAAATGAGCGCGATCTGTTTGTTTTCAGCAGCTGTTGAAATCAGTCGACCGCAGTTCCCTCTGCGAATTTTCTTTTACGGCCTCAATCGAGGCGAATCGAGTTTCATTGAGTTGAGTTTTGGAGACACAAAAAGCCGCATGAGGCCAAATCCGGTGAATATGGTGGTCGATAAATGGTTTTGAACGAGTGTTTGGTTTTAATTGTTCATAACTACAGCTCGGTGCGATAGCGTATTATCATCATGAAATTTTCCGGAAAATGTTGGCACACAATTCAGGCCGTTTAAGACGGATGTTTTCGCGCAAACACCTCAAAATCCTAAAATAATACTCTTTATTCGTGATGCACCAAGCCGCGAATATCGAAAAAAAGGTTTCCGGAAACTTTCTGGTCTTAATGTATCTTAGAATAACTTACTATGTAACCAGTTTTGCTACTCTGGAGGCAAATCTGCTCGGCACCGCTCTTTACGATGTTTTAGCGACGGTTAAAAAAAAACAACTCCTCGATTTTGGTAGATCTTTAAGGTTGTCTTATTCGAAAAAGTCACCACTATACTACAACAAATTAACCATAGGGCGCTCTTAGTACTTAGTGAAGTTCGTGAAATCTCTCTTAGAAAACAGTGTAATCTTTGTTAAGTTAGGATGCGCATGCATAACCAACTGAGTGGAGTTCTCCCTGCCTCCTTTGGTGACTTAAAGTTGGGCATGGGCGAAAGCTAAGTCTTCACGTCGAAATTAGCCTGGAAAGAGCGCACAGCTGGTACAGCAATTGCGGTCCATATGCTCAAAAACCGAATTGATACTCTTCACTTGGAGTTACAAGCCATCTGTTCTTACTTAAAGCCATCAAGATCACTCTTTTCACTGAGATCAAATAATTAGTTACAATTTTGGGTAGCAAATTCAGCTGGAACTGAAAATCGGTAGAAAGAAGACAATTAATGAAAGATTTGGACTAAGTCCCGATATTCTATTTATGATATCACTGTCTGGTGGCCGGCACTAGACTTACAGTGCTTACAGGAATAAGCTGGACAAAGCTACTTATAGCAAAAAACTGCACAAAGCTCAAGGGATGGCCTCAATACTCCTACGAAAGGTTCCGAAAGGCTCCGAAATACTCTTTGATCTTCTCCCTTCAGAGCTGTAAAGGCAACTTCGCATGCAACTAAATACAACTCAACCAGGAAGAACCAGGCACACCGAAATGTTTTACATCATTTCCGGAAGAGCTGGACCACCCCATCTCATCAAAAGTCCTAACGAATAATAAAAGGTTAAAATTAAACAGTTTTGAATTATATATCCAAAGCCATCTTGACCGGCAACGCAAAAGGCGAAGGCACTTTGGTGGGTCGTAGAATACACTCAGAAGCACTCGAAATCGATTGGAGCAAAAAGCTTCTCGACCGTTGTAGACGCTTTCAAGCTGAACTCGCCCGCGGCGTAAAATAATCCCGCTGAAATGCGAGGGCTGCGAGTTAGCTGGAAGCGAACAATCCAAACTACGGTAAGCTCTTTTTGTCGATAAGTACTTTGCAATGATCGTCTTCACCAATAGGCAAAGTGAAACCACCTCCTATGTAACCAGACTGATGTGGTCATTGATCGAAGAGAATTCTAATAACAACCGTTGTAATAACCAGGCACTCCCTGACGGAGTTCTAAGGAACTTAACGAGTAAGTGTCGGAAGAGTATTAACTCTGCCACTGTTCAGCCTCCGACGCGGCCCAACATTATTTCTACGGTAACTTTTTAACTTTGGCTGCTCAGCAGAACTTACATCAGCAATCGTCAAAGCACTCGTGGGCTTCTGAAAATGAACTGTTGCATGGACATGAAAATCTCAGAAGGAGAAAGAAATCTTTCTGCGTATCACAAATGAACCAGCAAGTCCAAGTGCGTTACGATCGAAGAGCGAACTATGTAAATAATATTTTCCAGAATTTGGTTTCCGTTTTTCAGCATAAACTATGGCCAAAGACTCTCCTGATTAGCCAGATTTCAGACTTCCGACTCTGATGTCGGTGCTGAACAATTATTTGTTGAACAGATCAAACCTGTATCAAAATTATGAGCTTAGCGTTGGAACCAAGTAACTACGTACTGATAATCTCCTAACTCCACTTAAACTCGGGCGTTCGGATTTCTGTGTATACTTGATGAATTGCTTTTTTCATTTACTGAAAATCCATCGGGAATCCGATTTCGGTGCACACATTATTCTAGCATCCCTAGTAAAATCATACCCACACACATTTGTATGCTTTATGACACACCTTTACTTCATTTCTTTCTTTTTCGCTTTTTCCGCCATTTCTCTCCTCACCGACCGACCTCACACACACACACACCCCCACACACCCACACACACAGTCAAGAGTCACATGGCTGCTGTGGGTATTAAAACATATGCCAAATTGCCAATGGGTTGCTCACCGTTAGCCAGCATGATGTACAGCTGTGTGAATGCCGAGACCTTCCTGCACTGCCCCGACAAAATGTGGAAGAACGATGAGCACTGTAATGTGGCGAAGAGCTTTGCGGCCCAATGTAATCCACTGCCGCACGTGCCGCTGCCGATTGGCTAAAGTTCAGCTCGAGCTGTTGTTCTGGAGGACGGAGCAGAGGCGTGGAAAGGTGCTTTGATGTCGCCACATGTTGAGCCGTTGTATTGCAGGAAAGGGGAGAAAACTTTATGAAATTATAAATTTAGATTTACAATTACTTTTTATTATGTACGAGTTTTGTCTTTAGGCAGTTCTCAAGTTTGTGTACATATTTGTGTATGCCGACATGTACTTATGAATAAATTTTATGGCAAATAAATGCAGAATTTAAGTCAGTGACATACGAAAAGTTCTTTCGATATTTTTTATTGTTTTTTTCCGTTTTTGGATTTTTATTTTAATTTTAATTTGAATTTTCTTTAATAAAAAGAATTCATTTTTACTGATTATTCTTTGGTTGGTTTTTCACTGCATGGTAACTTCTTTGTTATTGTTGTTTTTGGTTGATCTAGCACTTTACTCCTTCCCGCCTACGAGCTGGCAAAAGCTAGTCTACGTCGGAGGTTATCTAACAGACGGTCCATGAAATGAGCACTTTACTCGGGTTCGAACCATAGAGAGACGGAAGTTAGATGAGTCGAATCAAATAGACATGGAAAGAGGTGGTTGGTGTCCTACTTGGACTAATTGCACGCAGACTATATGTTAGGTATGTGGGGGGTCAAAGTCTTAAAAGTCTGGATAGCTATCAGTAGAGTCGACTACAGATTCAGATCTTAATTATGTCAATATTACTAAGCTCTCACACTGGCAGTTCGAACTCTTGGCCTACTGAGGCTGGTGATTTGATTTTATGCATGCCATTTACGGGAAAAGAGTGAATAAATGTGTTGGCATTTCGAAAGACCCATCGTTTCTGTAGTGCTGAAGTCGTCCTTTAAGTCCAGCACCTTTTTCCTGAAAGGCAGTGATTCAGCTTCCAATAAATGTCTATTATTAGGATAGTTGCGTCGGTGACCTTCCAGCAGATATTGTTCCCCTTGACTGGGAGAATAGACGTTTCACTGTGTAAATGATCCATAGGTGACATCAGTAGGTATCCCATCACAGTCTTCATGGCTGTGTTTTGGCAAGCCTCTTCAACTCGTCGTGGACGTTCAGATCAGCGCAGCATAATTAATGACTGTCCGGCCGATTGCCTTGTGAGCATCATTTCTTTATCTTTCTTCCGGGTGCTTTCATTTAGCGGTTTAAAATTCTGTTGCTGCTTTATACTTTGAATAGCAATCATATTAGGGGTGAAGCAGTACAGACGGTCGTTGGTGACTTCCAGTAACTTCCTAGAACCGTTCTTTATAAGGGGGGATTTCGACATAATCTACTTTCACAGTCAGTTCAAGCCGAGCTATGGTGAAGAGTCTAGCCGAGGAAAGAGGAGGTTGTGACTAAAGAAGTCGGAAATATCGGCAGGATAGCAGTTTATCTTCGAACAAAGACCATCGTGGCAAAACGGCAATATTCACTCTGACATCGTAACTCTACCGTTGACTGTCAACCACTTAGGTACTCCGGTGGTTTTTTCAGATCCAAAGTTATCAGAATAGTTGTTCACAGGGTCGAATTTGGTTAAGGTAAGGGACTATTATCCGGCTGTTTATGACGCTAAGTGCAAAAGCATCACACTTTGCTGAAATGATTTGCAGGGCTCAGGTGGGAAGTAAAACCTCCGAGCTTCTCGCTTCGCTTGTGATCTTCCTTAGTAACACAAGGTTTTGCTCTGACCTAACGTTGAACATTCCACAAAGAGACAGTTTGCAGATTTAAAACTCAAAAAGAAGTCTGTTATAAAGAGTGGAAGAGTTCATACCAGAGAACTGCCTTAATTTTTAGGACGAGGCAAGAAATAAGTAAATTACCATTATTGCTACCAGAGACGGGTGGAGGTTGACATTAGCCTAAGAGCCAGAGCCTAACATAAAGCTTCTCTTTTTTGGCAGACTCGATTACAACCAATTGCATTGACTACCTCCGAGCTGGTGATGTACGGCTCTTTCTACTTTTAAATCCCTTCACGCGAGAACTAAATAAAACAAAGCCACCGGTAGGAAAGCATCACTTCGGACAGGTCCTCGCGGAGGTGTTCTGTCGAAAGTTTTACATCGGTCTGGCTTTTGTCAGGTGAGCTTTGTGACTTGCACCTTCATATCCTTTTAGCCCTATTATTGATTCCGAAAATTCGTACGCAATTTCAGTTCGATGGATCATTATGAATGGGCACCTATGCCTTCAGGTTGCATCGCAGCAGTCGGAGGGCATGCCATTATTTACCGAGTTGATTTTTGATTTTGATCGGACCAGGGCTGGCCTTCCGAATGGCAGTACGCAATGCTTACAACTCACTCTTGCGCCCGCCTACGATGTATGTATGTATAAGCTAAGAATTAAAAGGTTACCGGTAATTGCTGAATGACAACTCAACCCATAAAGGAAAATCAGCCAAATAAAGCCAACGAACTGATGCTATTGACCAGAAGCAATGAGGCCATAGGCAAGCTGTTCCCAGGAGCATATGAAACTTTTTTAAGTAGTCAAGATAGATGATATGAGATCCTTAATTGACAAGAAAGGCAACGGAATAATACGCATGATCACCTGAAGAGATAAAGTTGCTGATCCGGTTCCGAGAGCCCCTACAAAAGCGTTCAATCAGGATCTGCTCGGAAAGACCCAACAAATAAATTTCGCTTTCCACACTGTATTCAACCACCGCGACATGAGGACTGCCCTGTCTTAGTGTAGATAATAAAAAATATGAAAAGAAAATAATTTAAATTCAGCTTAATTTCAAACATCATTAATTCTCTAATTAGACATTGGACCATGAGATCGATGATATCATCAATCACTTACACACGTACATATTTTCAAACGATTTAATTGGGCGTATCGCACTTGTGGAGCTCGTACCAGTTGAAAACATATTTTCCAAACGTCAGTCCAGTTTTTCAGTTTGAGAAATAAAACAATAAAAAAGTACAAAAACGTTCCAATGATTGCTCAAATATTTTTACTGTATTGGTTGATGATAGTCCGTGCCGAGGCGAGATTTGAGGATTTCGTTATAAATGACAAGGTTTACACCAACAAAACATTTTTTTTTTGTTTTTCAGTAAAGTATATTTTTATTTTCCCTCCGTCACTTCCAGTATGACTTGAAGCGCTTCGGACAATACGATGACAGCATGGACGAGGGCTATGAAATGATCGATGAAGAATTACTGAGCCCCGCATCTGAAAATGTGCTCGATGCTATGGATATGTTCAATGGGATTTCCATGAATGATTTGCCACCGGAAGTGCTACAGAAATTAGAACAGTACTTTGGTATGATGGACGGGCCGAGCTGTTCAGAAGATGATGGCGGTTTAATGGAGTTTGGACAAGGGATGCAAAGCTCGTACGGTGGAAAATTGTATGATACTTTACAATTGGAATAAAAGTGTTTAACTTACTCTTACTTACTCACTTACTTGCTCAATATTTTTTTTTTACCGCCCATTCAAATCTGGTATAGGGACTGGCAAAATACTGAACAAAATATTATATTAAAAATTAATCCATTATGTCTGCACTAGATGGCTTTGGGAATAATGTTAATGGACCTGATACTGTAGCAGTCAATCATTTTTGGTTTCTTCAACTTCGTTGCGTTAATGTTGATGTAAGAGATGCTCCACTTGAAAAAGGTTGGATACACAAAGAAGCTCGTTGCATGGATACCACATGAATTGACGGAAGAAAGCCTCAAGGGCCGAATTTCCATTTGTGAATCGCTGATGAATCGTGATAAATTCAACCCATTTCTGAAGTGGATCACTTCTAACAACGTCAAACGGAAACGGTCGTGGTCAAAGGTCGCTGAGCCGATAAGAACGATCTTCAAGCAAAGAATCATTAACTATGAGCAGCGCCTCCAAGGCCAAACTCTTGATTTGGACCTGCACCGTAAACAATTGAACCGTCTGAAAAAAGAAATATCCCGGTAGGTCCTAGCTTTGGCCAGCAGGTTTTACGGAAAAATCAAAACGTCACTGGTTTCTGCGTGGCAAACGTCAGTAACGGCATGGGCATTCAGTGATAACTTTTCATTTACATTGCGCTCTCATAAGATATTTTGCTATGGACGGAATGTATGTGAGATGGGTATTAGCAGCATAAGTCCGTATTATTTCTAAGAGTATTTTCTAGCAATTTAAAGAAAAAAAATCAAATTTTTTTAGAGAAACCAGGCCTTAAACTGAATGTCCTTACCTCATTTTCTTAACTGGACTCAATTCCCTTCAGTACTTGTTGAGCCTTCGTAAAATAGATGAAAAGGAAGATAATTGAAAAGGGAGGGTTTCTCTTGCAGTCTTTTATGTCGAACAAATTAATAAATACAATTTTTTTTATTTTGGAAACCACCAGTGTCTTAAGTCACCCGACGAAGTGTTCTCGTTTCTCAATTAAACTCTTAGATAGATAGATAGAAGTGATTGTCGATTTGCTTGCGCTCCATTCATCCAAATCGATACTGGATCTTGTTTACCTTGATATTGGTCAATTAGCATTTTGACTTCTGAATTTCGGAGAAAGCTTCATTCGAGTGACGGCCTGCAGCATTGTAATGTCTCCTCTTTCTTGCCATTCCTACACCTTCTACAATACCTTTTGAAATTAATGTTCAGATCTTCCGCCTATAAAACCTAATCTTGGAGACCGAACCGTACTTGGCTTCGGCCAAAAATTTTCCAAAAGAAAAGAGAAGAAGTTTTGGTTCCCTATTAGTCCAGGGCTTGTAATATGTGGCAAAAGACATTCTTTTCATGGAATATGGAGTAAACTGATTAATCTTAACCTGCCTTAAATTTACACTCGCTTAACCGGTTATCAGACACCCAAAGGAAGGCTAGCCTGATCTCCACCTGCAAAATGGGGCTTATAACCTCAAATAGTGTGGCATAGTGGACGATGTTTAAAGAACAAGTAAACTGAGGGGCTGGTTTGCGTACAAACAGACGCCTCTTGAATTCGAATTGAGATCCCACGGAAAGTAAAGGAGTACAGCCGCAATAGCCAGCCATTCGGAGGCGGCTTAGATTACATAATTTGTTGGGAAAACCTCAAGACAGCTCGGTTATAAAGCGTCAATTATGTTGTAAGAGAAGTGAGTTGCCCTTGCCATTCGGAAGACCCGGGTTAAAGTCCTGGTGTAAATGAAGTTAAATTCGCTAAATGCGGTCGCCCCTCGGCAGGGAATGTCAACCCTGGGAGTGTATTTCTAACATGAAATAAAGGCTCCTCATTAAAAAAAACATCAGCCGTTCGAAGGCGGCTTGGTATTAAGGTATTAACTATAGATCCCCCCATTAGTTTCCATTTGTTAGAAAAACTTCAAGACGTGAAACCAAAAATTGGAGAAAAAGCCCGGCCTAAAACGCTTCAGCGCCAATTATACAGTTAGGGTCCTCGGAGTACCTTCCAATATATGTCATTAAAATAAATACTTTTTCAAATATATATTTTTTCCAGCAATCAAGTAGTTTTATTTCCGATTTCGTCTGTCGCTATTTCCCACTCATTAAATCGTCGATAATTTCGCCAAGTGGCACTGAAATCAAATCTAACGGATTATCCTCACACTCGGCTATGTAATCTTCGCAAACGCCATGTGCGCCATCTACTTCGGCTTGATAATATTGAAGAGGCAGATTTTCGTGCGCAGATGTGCTGGGACTGCAAAAAGGAAAAATTTATTAAAATCGTTAGATTGTTTAATACATATTTATTAAATAAATAAAACTTACGAGAAAATAATATGCACCAATGAGCCCAGCACACCGTTCACCTCGCCGAGACCTGAGGCATTCGTTTCACAAATCAAACGCAGCAGACACGGTTCAGCATTGTAGCCACTTCTGAAAGATAACAGAAAAAATATAAAAAAAAGTTTATGATAGTTGGGACTAAGTGAAGAATTGTGGAATTTTGGTATACTTTGGGGACTGAAAGCCGAGCTGGAGCCAGAAATTGGTTCGAAACAAAGATGATTTGGTCTCGTGAGGCATGCAAAAATGTAAAGGAAATGTAAACGAATTTTATACTATCAGAGAAATTCTACATATTTTACATTTTCTCGGAGTCAAACCATCACCTTTAGCAGACGAAGAGCTTGAGCTGCCTCCTGAGTTTCGGGTAATACTGGCGTAACTTAGATCTGGATATTTGAGGAAGACTAAACTCTTACCTATCCAGACTTCACCCCGACATACCCAACGTATGACCTTCATTGAGTCCACGCACGATACTAACCACCGCTTTGCATACCCCTAAAAGCAACTCATCCAACGTTCTTTTCTCTTTATTCCTAACACGTCTAAACATCTAAAAAACTTCTTTGCTGGACCTTCCATTAGATGACCTCGATGACTTAGACTAATCTAGTATACTCCTAAGCGGGATTAGCGAACCGCTACAATAACAGTGATAATAACATCACACATTTGCTCTATAAGACATGTTTTAACGGTACCAGAGCAGCAGTTTTATCGCCCTAGTGTGAGAATTTCGTTTTGTGGCTAAAATTACCACTTTTAGTTGGGAGATCGGGCAAAGAATTTCGCTTTTTTCCAGTTGTTTTGAGCCAGGGAGCCGATATACAGGCTTAAGATGGCTCCAATCAGTACATCTTAAAAAACCTTGAGTGATGCTGAAGTTTACATTGGTTATTTGGGAACATAAATAGTCAGCAAAACGTGGATTGAACTCAATAAGGGATCATATCAAGAAAACCTAGCTAAGCGGCCCAAAGAGGAGCATGTCACTACAACGCCACTGCTTGGAACCGCCCGATGATACTCTTGTGGGTTAGGGGATCAAAAATGTACCCCTTGTAAGGCATGCCTATCACAAGAGGCAACTAAAAATCAATAGTTCCCGCGTCAAGTCGGTCTTTATACCGGAACGACCTAGATTTTTTTCCGGCTAAGAACTGTCACTCTCGCCGTATCTCCTCAAAAACTAATTTGTGTCATATTTTTGCGCATACTACAAAATCAACGACAGCCGGTGCGGTAAATCCATAAACAAAATAATGACACGTGTTGCATCAACTCGTTATAAACTTGCAACAAAACCGCCAAAAGCCCGCAAAGCCGCCTCCTCGTGAGTCATTAATTAGAGCATACATTGTGGCTACAAACAAGCACACCTACATACATACACACATACATACATACGCAGATGCGTCGAAGAAAGTATTTTCACACTCAATCTATAATTGATAATAAAAAAAAAATTAAAGCAAAAATTTGGTAAGCGCACACACTGACGCACAGAATTATTCTAAGGCAAACTTGATTTTTTTATGTTGAAATAAAAGTGTGAAATGTGAAAATATTACTATAATTCTAAGCTAAGGTACTGTTTAGAATGAGAAATTTAGGCAAATATTTACTCTTATTAGAGGAAAAATAAAAAAAAATATAAAAAAAATTATAGTTTTTAATGAAAAAAATAAATTAATTAATAAAAAAATAGAACGTTACTTTTTACGCGTCCATAAAATGAATTTTCAATGCAAAAATATCAAAATAAAAATATTTAAAAATACACAAACCTTCTAAATTTATCCATGAGTATGTGATAGAAGTGCGTACGCGTCAGCAATGAATTCAGCGCGCTTCTTTTCTGCCTGCGACGTCTTTTTGTTGTACCTTCTTTGCTATCAAGAATTGTTGCATTCAAAAGCGGCGTCGCTGTAGTTGAGGTTGTACTTGCATTTGTAGTTGTGGTTATTTTTGTTGTTGGTGTTGTTTTTGTTGTTGACTCAGTGCAGTTAGCACAATCATTTGTGTTTTGTAAAACTCTTGCTTCTGGTACAGAAAAAATTTCATCTTCCTCGACGCCATACTGAAATGATTTGTGTTTACATACATACATGCATGCATATGTATGTGCATATTAAAAATAATAAAAAATTATGCAAATATAATACATACAGGTACAATATTGTAAAACAAAATTTTATTGAAAATAAAAACAAGTATAGATAAAAAAATAATAATAAAATAAAAAATTTAATTTAAAGATATTTTTACAAGACAAAATAGAAAAAAAATAAAAAAATTTATTTATTTATCAAAAAAAAAACAAAGATTTAACTTAAAAAGACACTTTAAAAACATTAAAAAATTCCAATAAAAACTATGTACATATGTGCATGGCACATACATATGTACATATATTGCAAATAATAAAAAATTGAAATAAAAAATAAATAAAATATAAAATTTAAATAATTTAAATTCAAAAAAGTAAATGGATTAAAAGAACTAAAGGCATTTAAGTCAAAATAAATACATACACAAAAATAAAAAATAAAAAATATTTAAATACTAATTAACATTATATATATTATTAAATAGTATTTTAAAATTCTTTTTAAATATTATTATAAATATATATCATATATAAAAAAAAATATATCAGGTGTACAACTTTGCTTCCGCCGTTTTCCGATAGGTGGCTGTACGGGCTGAGGCTGGTTGAAATACATAGATGATAATGCCTTTAAAGTGAGTGTGGACAGTGCCTAACGAATTGTCATCGCCGTTTCAGTGACAGTTGTTCTTGTTTTCATATTATTCACGCTCGAAAATGTCCGTTTATGTCCCTGATTCTCGCCATTTGCGGGAAGTTTTACTTTTCTGTTAAAATTCGAAAAAAAAAATGCAGCTGAAGCGCATCGAATGCTCTCAGAAACTTACGATGATGCTGCTCTGAGTGAAAGAACGTGCCAGTAGTGGTTTCAACGTTTTACAAATGGTGATTTCGATGTCGAAGACAAACATGGTGGTGGAAGAGAAAAAACCTTCAAAGATTAACTACGCGCTCTTAAAACCGGGTGAAACCATCACAGGAGATCGCTACCGAACGCAACTGATGCGCCTTAGTCGCGCGCTAAAAGAAAAGCGGCCACAATATCAAGAGTGACATGACAAAGTCATCCTCCAAGACGACAATGCTCGGCCTCACGTCGTAAAAGTGGCCAAAAAGTACCTGGAAACGCTGAAATGGGAAGTCTTGCCCCACCCGCCGTATTCCCCAGATGTCGCCCCTTCTGACTTCCACCTATTCCGTTCGATGGCACACGGTCTGGCAGATCAACATTTTAAATCATTTGAAGAATTGGAAAAATGGATTGCTTCATGGATAGCGTCAAAAGAGGACTCTTTTTTCGAGCCGGGATCAGAAAGTTGCCGGAAAGATGGGAAAAAGTTGTCGCTAGCGAAGGACAATACTTTGAATAATATATCTGTAAGCACTTTTTCGCAATAAAGCTTTTAATTTTGGAAAAAAAACGGCGGAAGCAAAGTTGTACACGATATTAAAAAATAGAACTAAAAAGACATTTTTTTTTTAAAACTATGAAATATTTATATTTACCAAAGCTTAAAAGTAAAAAAATTAAGTTTAAAAAAAATAAAAAAATAAGAAAATGAAACTAAATTAATAACAAATTTACTCAAAAATGGAAATAAATTTAAAAATAAAATATAAAAATTAAAGTAATAAAAAATTTATTAATTAATATGAATATACTATATAAAATAGTTAAATTCAAAGAAATATGTGAAAAGCAAAAATTTTAATTTCAAAGAGAAACATCTTTAAAATAAAAACAAAATTTAAGCTAAAAAATAGAAATATTTTGAGAAAATAATAAATAAAAAACTTTAAAAACAAAAAAAATATTTTTTTATAAATTTTTAAAACAACTGAATTAAAAAATTAATTACAAAGAAAAAAATAAATAGACATTTATATGTATGCACATTTATTCAAAAATAAAATAAGATAATTTTAATTGAAAAGAGATATTTATTTACCGCATAAAAACACAATTAAAATGAATATAAAATAAAAAAAAAATCAGAGACAGAAATATATTAAAAAATTAATAAAATTAAAATATAAAAGACATTTATTCAAAAAGATAAAATAAAATAATTCAAATAAAAAAATATATTTAACAGAAATAAATTATAAAATCAAAATAGTAAAATATAAAAAAAAACATTTAATTAAGACAGGAAAACATACGTAATTTTAAACTATAAACTAATAAAAAAATGTATTAGAACTTGAAATATGTATAACAAAAAATAAAATATGTATACAAAATAAATTTAAAGAACAAAAAAATATATTACAATCAGAGATTTAAAAAACTTGTTAAAAGAACGAAATACTTTACAAAAAAAAATTAATTAAAATTAGAAAATATTTAAAAATATATAATCCAAAAATAAAATAAAATAGTTTTAATTGAAAAGAGAAATTTAAATAATTACAATTAAATAAGAGCATTATTAAAAGTTTAAAGAAAATACACAAGTTTAAACTAATAAAAAAATTAACTTTAAAATAGAAATATAATCAAAAATTAAATAAAAAACTTAAATTAAAAAAAGGGAACATGAAATATATTAAAAAAAAAAAAACAAAATATAAAAACTAGTTAAATGAACGAAAAAAATAAAATAAAATTTGAAGTAGGAATATTTAAAAATAAATATTAAAAGAATTAAATAAACTAATTTTAAGTGAAAATAGGAAATATTAAAAAACGTAAATTAAGAAAATTATAAAAAATATATTTAAGTAATAAATACAAAATTGGAATTAGAAAAAATTAAAAAAAAAATATACTTTACAAAAAAATAATAATTAAAATTAAAAACAGTTTAAAAAAAAATTTTGTTCATTTAAATAGATAAGAAAAAAAATAACTAATAAAAGAGAAATATCTTAAATTAAAAAGAAATTAAGAAACTATATTACCTAGATATTATATACTAAAAAAATATTAATTTATATCAATTAAAATTATAAAAAAAAAGTACTGAAAAAATTGATTATACAAATATAAAAAATTTTAAATTTAAAAATTAAATATTAAAAATAAGAAAATGAAATAGAAATAAATATTAAATATATATATATATTTATTTAAAAAAGTGAAAAAATATTAAAAAAGATAATATGAAGATAATGCACTTTAAAAAAACTAAAAATATATATCTAAGATAGTAGAAAACTAAACTATACAAATTAAAAAAATACTATAAAACAAAAGAGTGTCTTTTTTATACCCTTCATGGACACATCAAACGTATAGTACATTATTTTAAGTTTAAATATCAATTCTCATAACTGAAAAAATCGGTTGTTTGAGGGCTATATGATTTAGGCCGCCGATTTTTATGATTTTTCGTGAACAATGTTCATTCATATATAAATATGTATTCACAACAGCCGCGGTAGCCGAGAGGTTAGCATTGCGTATTGACATTCGGAAGGTTCGGGTTCATATCCCAGTGCCACCAGCGTACAAAGGTTATGGAAAATTAATATAAAATAAGAAATTAAGTTAAATTTTCAAATTGCAGTCGCCCCTCGGCAGGGAATGTCCACCTCTCCGATTGTATTTTGGACATAAAATAAAGGCTTCTCGTAAAAAAAAANTTTAAAATTTGAAAGTGAAAGTGTAAATTACATTTGGAGAAAAGTTACCAATCTTATAAAAACAGTTCATATTTACCGAAATGCCTAAAAAAAAAATTGTAATCAGTCACGATGATTGAGTTAGAATTCAAGTTCTAAGTGAAGAAGGTAAGTCTCAGGTTGAGATTGCCAATTTGGTGGGTGGTTCGCGGTACGTGCTCCAATGTGCTATCCGGCGATTTGTGGAGACGAAATCCCACAATAATAAATCAAAAAGTGGAAGAAAGCGTCTAACCAGTAAACGAGAAGACCGAATACTTATATGCAAGTCTCTAAAGGATCGCAAAAAAGCTTCTTCTGCCCATGCAGCTGTCCTTTCGGATGAGTTTAGTGGTCGAACAGCTGGACGAAGAATTCTGGAAGCAGGTTTAAATGGATGTAAAGCCCGAAAGCTGCCGTGGCTCTCAGAAAAGAATAGGAAAAATCGTTTGGAATGGACTCGCCGATACCAACATTTCACGGAAGAAGATTGGTCGATTGTTCGGTTTAAATCGTCTTAAATAATAACCCTGGCGCAATTTTCGAAGACAAAATACAGATCTATGAAAACCTTATTATTTGTCTTTCTACAGATATTTGGAACACCTGCTGTGACGTTCGTGAGGTGACGGGTTTCGGAAAAATATCATCCAGATTGCGTGGTACCCACTGTTAAGCATGGAGGAGGCATCATTATGATCTGGGGCTGCATGGCTGCTGATGGTGTCGGTGAAATGTTCGTTTGCGAGGGTCGCATAGACAGATAAAAGTACATAAATGTATTAGGAGCTGTTCTTCTGCCGCCTTCTTTAACGCGCATTGTCGGCGATACTAATTTAGACGGAGCTCAATTACAGCGAGACAATGAGCCTTGTCACAAATCAACGATTACGATGCGTTGGTTTAGAGATAACAACATTGTTTTGCTAGATTCGACTGCACAGTCTACAGATCTTAGTCTCATTTGACACATGTGGGCTATTTTAAAACGCAAGATTAAGGAACACAGTATAACACCAAAAGTTGCTTTAAAGAATGCATTAATTAACGAGCTTGAAGGGTGGACCTACTAAATATTACTGTTATTATCACTAATTCATTGCATTTTCACTGTGTTACTTCACTTGATTAAACAAAAAAATCAGTAATTAGTAGGGTGCCTAATACTTTTGGCCAAGGCTGTATGTTTACATACATTTGTTAGAGTCGTCCGATTTTGATAATTTTCATCATCAAATTCTAATTCGCCATAGACGCTTTTTAGGCAAATTTATGACCCGAAATCTCAAATCCAATGCAACCGTGTAGCAAAATTTGGTAAAAATGTCTCAAAAACTAAAAGACTGCTTTGCGCACAAAAATACGGACAGACGAGCATTACTAAGTCAACTCAACTCGTCATTCTTACCCCTGCGGTATAAATTTTAATGGGCCTATCTCCTACTCCTTCTGGTACTTACATACTTCGGAACAAAATTAATAATATACCATATCATGCACATGAAGGGTATAAAAAATTCAAATACCAAAAAAAGAAATTAATAAAATTGATTACTAACAGCAATTGGCGGAATATCATATGTGTATGGCAAATTGTAATTCGCTTCGAAGTTATATGAAATGAAGACATTACGATGCGGCAATTCCAGCGGTACAGCGATAGCGGCAAAAATCTGTTGGCACAAAATCATTTTTCTTTACTACTCCAAATCTCTTTTCTTTTTTGAGATTTCACTACTTACACCGTAAGCAGAATTGGTGGGAAAGAATGTCGTACTACCACACAACTTGCAATGCCAAAGTAAATGAAGAATAATACTTAAGTAAAAACTGAGATGTGTTCGCATACACATTGTCTTGTGTATTTGTATATATATATATGTATTTTATATGAAAAATTGTTAATTTTATTTACAACTTTAAAATTTTGTTTGCGCGCACACACGTCTATGCCCGGAAAACCGTAAAACATTACTAAAATGCTTCACTTTTACTAACCAAGATGTCTACTTGGCTTGGAGGTGTGTTTGAGAGAAGCATCTGCTTCTGGTCACTCTCAGTAGCCACAAGAGCACTTAATGTTGTTGTTGTTGTTGTTGGCACATAATGCCTTAAAACAGTATGGAGAGATGGCAAGTTGTTGTTAATTACAAATGTCAACAAATCCAAATAACGGTGGCAAGCAGCAATTTAACATACGCAGCAGCGTTTCCCAAACATATTATAACCTTTTCGGAGTTTTTTTTTCAAATTATCTTAAGATTTCGCTTTTACAGTAAAAACAACATAGTATTTGTTTCGAAATTAATGGCTGTTATACTGCTCTTATATTTTATTATATGTATGTATATATATCATTGTTAACCTTCCATTTGTGAAATTAAATTTACTTGTAGTAAAGGAAATGGAAATCTCTTGCAAATAACTAAATAGATGAATCAATATTTGGTTGAGTGTGTAATGTTGTTGGAAACAAAAAGAGTAGAAACAATAAAAAAATACGTTTTTTCATGAGCTTTTAGCATTTTCCCAGATGTAGCGAGTATAGTGCATATAACATGCTTTGTTTTTGTATTTTCTTCTTTTTTTTTTTAATCAATTAAAGTTAAACTTTCTAGTTTGCCGTTGTATAACAACTAAATTGGGCAGCTTTGCTTATCACACTAACGGTTGCTATCTATGTTGGCGCATTTTACGCTCTTGCCAAGTAACAAATTTAGTATTTGCCGCCTGCAGTAGACGATTCAAATGCTGCGTGAGTGAAGCGCCCAATGGCGATAGTTCATGCAAAGCGCGACTCTGGAATTAAAAATTAATAAAAAAAAAAAAAATTTTAGCAACTTTTTATTTAACAAAATATGTTGTAAATATACCTCAAAAGGCACAAGTTTGGCCATTTTAAAACGTTGCAATGCTTCATGCATGCGTACAGCACGTTCCTCCGCCTCAGCAGTTGTAGGTGGGAAGCAATTCCAGAAATGTTTCAGCAATTCCGATAAAGATAAATATAAATTACGTAAGTCCTTTTCGAAATCTGGCGGCACTAATTCTAAAATGGGCAAGGAAATATATGAAAAGCAGAAAAAAATAAAATTTGCTACACGCCGCTTCCGGCTACACACACTTACGTCCCACCGACTGCTCATGGAAGCCGCGCATAAGTGCACCACCGGGACTGAGCTCGCCGAGCGCATTTACCGCCGCAGTTGAATTAACTAAAACCTTTTGCGGCGTACGTTGCGTCCAAGTTTCAGTGGCGCGCAATAAATGATATTGCACTTCTTCCATGTGACGTGGATCTTCATGCATATCATAACCCGTTATGGGCATTGGACCATGCAAATAACGCTCCTCTTTGGCTAGCGATAATAGCGGTGGTTTTTTCAATTTTTTAATGGCATCTGTTGTGTCAGCAACTTCAAGTAGCGGCTCACCAAGATCTTCGTAATGGATTTTTTCAATTATACGCTGACGTTTCGCTGGCAGCTCGTTATTGCCAAGTGCACCATTGACATTTGCATTCGATACGGCCTCTGCGCTATGCTTATCTTTTTTTGATTTTTCACTGCCTCCATTAACAGCCGTGCCATCAGCTGCTTTTGGTTCTTTCATTTTTGCTGCCGGTCCATTGGCAGTTGAAGTCGAACTGCTACCGATATCAGCACAGGTTTTAAGCACCATAATGGAGTGTTGATTGAAACGTTTAATCATATTTTGATGCACTATATTACCACTATTCGATATGTTACGATCACCGGCTACACTGCAGAAACCTTCCTCCAGCGGCACATCTTCGAATTGTTTCAAATCGAGCAGCGGATCGCCGGCGCCTTGTTGTACCGCTGCTTTTAGTGTTTGATCGTCTATTTTGCCACATTCTGTAAAAATATCTTTCGAACCAGCGGTTATGCGATCACGATGAAAGTAGTGAGACTGAAAGAATTTCGTCCAGAATTCTGCTTCAGTCATTTTAGCAGGAACATTCTCTTGGTGCTTTCGTTTTACGGCAGGATAAGTTTTAAAAATGCAAAGAATAATGTCTGGAGTTAAATTGTATTTGAGGCCATTACAACCATCCGTTTGTGGTTTGATATCGGCAAGAAAAGCACCAGAAACACCTAGAAAGTTGAAAACACACATTTATATACACATACAAAACAAAGACACTACGTAGTGTACTCACCAATATCTTGTTTTTTATTATTCTTTTTCATAGCATGCTCTTTGGCATGAGTTGCCCAAAATTCTTCGCTGGTAAGTACTTGTGTTATAACTAAATCCTTATACAGTTGCAATAGATTGGGGTTTTCTGAGAGTATACGATTCTTTTCTTCCAATTCCTTATCGACTTTGCGTTTAAAATTCGGCAGTAGCTGTTGCAGCAACTCCTTCACCTTATCACGGTCAGCAAGCATAGCCTGTTGGCCATTTCGATTTACAAAATGGAATGTGGAACTATTACCATCATGCAGAACAACTTGTAGTTGCACCTTCGGTTTGCCTTCCGGTGATATTTTCTGCACTGCAAAAGGTAAATGGATTTTTTTTTATTATACACTGTTATACATATATATATATGCATATGTCTATATGCCTACTTTTGATGTCGGCGAAACGATGCGATACTGCAACAGTATCTCGATTTTCCGCCATCCAGGCGAGACGCTCATTCATTACATAGAGTGTGCCATCACCTTTCTTATAACGCACTTCACCCATTTGCAGCAGTACATCCTCACTGCTTGTCGTCATTTTGACCAGCGCTTTTCAAGACACCACTACCCAATATATATAATTGTGTTCCACAGCCAAGGAGGGATAAGCAGATATTTGAATTTCGTTGGCTATTAAAAACAACAAAATAAAAATGATGAAATTAAAACAAAGAAAAAAAAACATTTCATAATTGTGCGTCAGTCAGGTGCTCCGCAGACTACTTTTTGTAACTCTGTACATATCAATTACTTTCAAGTCTTTCTTGTGCCCACATTGATTTTCCATATCAAGCATTTATTTAAATATAATTTTCCAATAAGAAATAGCCGGTATAATTGTTTTAAAAGCACCAAAAAAAATATTTTAGCACAAGATAAAACAGAACCAACCTTTTTATAGGCGCAACGTCGCCATTTGTAAAATTCCGCAGCGCAGAGAAATGTCATCGTTCTGTCAAACTGCCCAACAACAACTGCTCTACAAATCGAAGAGGGTTGAAATGCAAACTACTCTTTCAAAATACTACCAAAGGCAAAACGTACAGGGAGTATTTGGTAGTTAATTTTGAGCGAATTTAAGAAGCATAAATGCCTTTTCATGACAGATTATCATAAAGGGATTTATATTTTTAATTTCAGATGAGATTTATTTTACACAACCTGACTGAAGTATTGTAAAGAACTTATTTTTGAATACAAAATAATATTAGAATTGGATATTTTAAAGCAACCCTGCGTGGTGCTGCCAGTTATGCATTCTAAACAATAGGAACATTTTGCATTAGGGTTGCACTTTGATCAACACTTTATATTGTAACGAATTTACTAAATCAACCTCGATGATTTCCTAAATCCTTCGGGTACGATCTCTGGATTGTTAACACGTTGACGGACACTTGCGTCTATAGCCGTCAAAGCGAAGTTCACTATGTGGCATGACGGCGACAGCCGTCTAAAACGAAACGGTCGTTTACAGACACTGCAGCGATCGCAGCACAAATGTGCATTTACCGGCGTTCTACTTGTACGTGTTTTGGAAACAATTTTTTAGATTGAATTTTGTTTTCCATCTGTTGCACGACTTGCAGCATAATATGTATTTATTATAAAATTATAATAAATTTTTTGTCATTTATTTATTTTTGTTTGATTATAAACTAACATTTCGTGTAAAACTCCCAAAAATACTTTTTTGCGCACAAATGATTGCTGATTTGAATCATTAAGCTTGTCATTTACGTTTTTAAATTTGTGCTGTTATAGCTGCCATCGTCCCATTACTTCAAGTCTAGAGTGCGCTGGCGCCATGACGGTTATGGCCGCAACCTAATTAAAGGTGCTGAATTATTCAAAATTAAGTTTATTTAAGCAGAAATAGTAAAACTATACTTTAAATATTCTAAAAATTACAAAGACACATAGTGTCAATTTTCGAACTTTACTTGTTCCTACTGTCCGTCAATGTGTTAAATAAAACTCGCCTACTTAATTTGCAGTTTCTTTCGTAATAAAGATTTTATCTATGTCCTTTATTTACTCCGTAATACACAATTCAATTACAAGGCACTTTACTAGCTACAATCACTTGCATCAACTTTCACCATTTACTCTACTTAAAGGTAATCCCAACGCGTTTACTTTACGACTGTACTGACGTTAACGCCAACGAGTTCACTTTATAACTAACTTGACTTGCAGCTGAGTGTCGCCTTTATATAGCAGTCGGCTGCTCGCAGACGAAAGCGTAGAAGCATCGAATTGTTCGCTAAGGAAGGTTCTTGTTTTATCGTTTCTAGAATGGTCTAGTTATCGGCTTCTTTCTTTCATCTGACATTCGCCTCGCATTTTCGCAACAATATTATAAGTGCAAAGCTATTAATTTTTGTTGTTGTTGCTGGTTTTGCGGCTTGGTAAAGTCCGCGGAAGAGCGGCAAAGCTACTTTATGTCGTTAAGTTAATCTAATATTAATTTAAAATTAAATATTTTTTATTAATTAGATAGTAGACAACGAAAAGTAGTGTGAAACAAAGTCACAAAGCCATCAGACAGTGACGGTGATCACCCCACAGGAAAGGTCATTTAGACTATTGAAAAGAGGGAGCAAATGCCAAGAAAAAAGCTATTTCAAGGGGCTCGCACCAGAGGGAGAGGGCAGTTTAGTTCGTTGGTTTTAGTTGGGATGGAAAGAAGCGGCTAGAGGTTTGCTGGAGTTCCTTGCTTGCAGAACGAGATCATCTAACGACAGAAAACGTGGCAGAGGGAGAGTAGGTTAGATATGCCGGGTTTAGGAAGCATGTAAAAAAGTCGTTAGTGTCGTGGTCTCGTGACATCAGGATGTTTCCTGTCGCGGTCCTGAGGATAATGCTCTGACAAGCCTGTAACTTCTTCATCTGCGTCTCGTTCGTCCCCGGTGCCCAGATAGGTGCAGTATAGGTAACAACCGGCCGGCCAATTGCTTTGTAAGTAGCCAGCAAAGTTTCTTTGTCTTTACCCCTGGTGCTGCCGGCTAGCGCTTTGAGTATTTTGTTGCGGCTCTGGAATTTCGCGGCAATTGCGGTCGTATGCGGAGTGCCGGCTGTAAAGTGTGACTCCCAATATCTTTCGGTTAATTATGGACGAAATTTTTAAGCCATCGACCTTCACATCTAGTTTGAGCTTGTATTCCTTCGTACAGCTGGTGAAAAGGGTAACCGGGGATTTAGTCGGTTGAATTTTAAGCTGTCTTGCAGTGAAAAAGTCGGACAGGTCGGCGAGATTGCCATTCACCTTCGAATAAAGGTTATTAATATTCTGGCCAGACGCCAATATTGTGCAATCAATCATATTAATAAACTCCTTGTGGTGGAAGAGGGAGTTTCGGAATACAGAAATTAAACAATAGTGGGGAGAGGATACCACCCTGAGGAACCCCCTGTTTAATTTTTCTGGGTTTCAATGTTTCTCACCTCGGAATATTACCGATGATTGCAACCCCGACGGGATTGAGGATTCCTCAACGTCCGAAAGCAGCACTGAATGATTTACGGTGCCAAAAGCTTTTGACAGATCTAGTGCTTCCAGGACAGTTCGATCGTAGGAGCGTCGGCTTTGGATAAGGCCATTTGGTTTATCGGGTTAAGTGTTGTTGCGCCACTGTGCACTTTGCTGAAACCATGCTGATGTGCTGCTAGACTCAGATGGTAAGTGAACAGTAAGGCCTTAAGTGCCTTCCGAGGGATATCGGCCAATAAGAGTATCCTTTGTTGTCGGTATGTCGTCTTGTCCAACGGTTCTGTCCTATAGGACTGAGTAATGTACATCCTTCCTGATGGAGGCGGTGCGGCTTCCTATTCTTAAACCCAATATTAATTAATAGCAGGAAATGTGCTAAAAAATAATTAACAGCGATGGAGGACAGAAACTAATAGAAAATAGCAGAAGCTTATATACTCCACAGGTATACTGAATTCAGGCTTCCAAAGTCACTGTATTTTCTTTCGATAGGAAGTTTATAAGGGAAGGAGTCAAAACTCTGTCAAATATATGTATTTACGCACTGAAGTTCCCACACCGATAGTCACTTCTGGCATA